CCCATTAGGCAGTCTGTCATAAACTTCAAAGAGAAATATAGACAATTACATTATTTCACCCAAGATTAATCTAAATGTTAATATTCCCTGTTGATCTCCAAATTAATAGTTATAGTGACAGACAGGAACTGTCTGTTTACATGGCTAGCATCTAAGATATGCAAAATTAGTATAATCTCTATTTCTCTAACAATACAGGTCTGCGCTTTAAAGTTCTAGCCTATCTAGTATTGAATGGCCCTAATTAACATTCACATACTTTCTAACATGTCTTTGGGTCATTCAGCCTGAAAGCTGCTTAACCCTTTCAGTCAACATGTTACACTTTGTATACGATTTGTTGCAATTATATAACAGTGATAGCAATAATGATTTGCATGATTATATTTTAATTGGACAACATTACATCAACCCAAAACAAAATATTTCATTTTAGTTTTCCCATTGGAAAAATGAAAATTTCCTGTGGAAGCTTTTGATATTGCAGATACATTTTCTGTCCAGCTCCTCCTCCCCCAAAACCCTACGTTCCAATGGAAAATTCAGCACTGGTTGTAATAGGAAATAAGTGACAACCAAAAAAGTTTATATTGTTCCTTTTAAGTTAAACAATACTGTTTAGAAGAAATCATTTTATTGGCTAGAGAATGTGTGATTGTAGAAGATGCTTGTTTATTTTACTGCCATAGTTTATTTTAGATTTTTTTTAAATTCATACCTTGAAGTTGAAAAAAAAATACTCGTCAGAGCATGTAGTAAAACTATGCTAATCTGCAAGAAATGTGACTTACTGTGCCCCCTTCCCGAAAAGAAAATCACTATTTCTATTTCCATTTAGCCACATCCATAGGCTTGCAAAAGTGGCAAAATCATACATGTCAGTAAATGTTGAAGATCTTATGAAACACAGTATATCCATTTTACAGATGGGTAAATGGAAATATAGAGGCATGGAATAACAGCTGTTTAGCTTCACACAGCAATACATAAGAAATTAGGACTGAAAACAGAGTTAAAACATTGCATCCAGTTGAAACTGGAGGAGGCATTTAGGTAGAGAGAATGTAAGTATCTAATCAAAATAAAATGACATCTAAGAAAATAGAAAGAGGTCATTTAAAATAATTTGGTTCTAAAGTTTTCTGTATTGCTGAGCTTTCTGTAAATTTTTAGTAAAATAAGAGACCACAAATGACTTAATCAGATGTCCAAAGTCTATGGGGTTAAACCATACCCCATAGCAGTCACAAGGTACCTCCTCTGCTGTAAGAATGTTGAATCGGACTACTTTAAACCAAGTAATTTTGAACATGATTAATCTGAGTGATCTCATTAGTACCTTTTATTATGTAGCTTATCACTACAAAGATAGAAAGTAAAAATAAGTGAAGATTCTGGCCTGCTTTGTTGGAAACAAGTTATACATGTTAGAAAACAAAATGATGAAAGATGCAATAAATATTTCACCTTTCAAAGATGGAAAAATTAAAACCCGTCCCTCAGTGACAAACTTGGCTGCACTGCCTTGATCAGAAAGAATTCACTGGAAAACAAGGTAAAACTGAGACATTGAAACAATTATTAAAGGCAAATGAACATGATAAAAGATAGTTGAGAAAGTCCAAAGACTTATCACTTAAAAAAGAAAAATTAATCTCTGTTTTGGACTCTTTCATGTACAAGTTATCATTGTGTTACTGTCTCATGTTTCAGGTAACTAACACTGAGCTGTGAGCATGATTTGATGGCAGCCTTTATAAACTGATCACAATAGGAATAGGACAATATAGTGAAAGAAGTGCAAGGCATTTCCTGATGATGAAATGGTTGGCTAGCTGAAAGTGATATGTACCATTAATTACAGCCAGTCATTATTGCCATAGAAATTCTGTGAACTAAGATTATTGCTATTAACATTTCAGAAAGAGAGTTCTTTCTTTTTCTCTCTTTCCCTCCTCCACCCTAACGCTTTTCACTACAATAGAAAATTATTGATTAGCAATATCAGTCACAGAGGACCATATACTGCCCCTAATCTGCATGTAACTGCCATTGATAGGAACAGGAAATGGTAAGCATTTACTAGGCTTCTTACTACACTGCAAAGTCATAGCTAAAATATCGTTCTCTAGTTGTACTTGGATCCTAGTACTTAGACCCATATCTAGCAAAGCACTTTAGCACAACCTCAACTTCCAGCATATGTGTAGTCCTATGGAATCAATAGGACTATGCTCATTCTTTAGTTTTTTGCTGGATCAAGTGTTCGGGTACCAAGATTATATGTAACTTATAATTCTTATAGATAGATTTCAGGGCTCGGCAACCTTTCAGAAGTGGTGTGAAGAGTCTTCATTTATTCACTCTAATTAAAGGTTTTGCGTGCCAGTAATACATTTTAATGTTTTGAGAAGGTCTCTTTTTCTATAAGTCTATAATATATAAGTAAACTACAGTTGTATGTAAAGTAAATAAGGTTTTTAAAATGTTTAAGAAGCTTCATTTAAAATTAAATTAAAATGCAGAACACCCCACCCACCCACCCCCCCCCGGACCGGTGGCCAGGACCTGGGCTGTGTGAGTGCCACTGAAAATCAGCCATAGGTTGCCTACCCCTGGATGAGATACTTTTGAGGATCACAATAAGTGGAGCAATAGAATTAAAATGAAACTTATTGTATTGCTTAAACAAGTGTTGCCAACTATTTGGGGGAAAGTTATAAGGTGTGGTTTTACAGTCCCTTAAATTTTGCTGCACTGTGTGTACCCCTAAAATTCAGTGTGACTCTTTTCCAAAACTGTAAATCCTGAGTGGGAGAGAGTTTGCTGAAAACTCTTTCTAGGTTTGTCAATTTTGAGCTCAAGGAATTTGTTTTAACCTATCAAGCCCGAAAGAGTTTGGTTTACCATCTCTCTGGTCATCTGAGGCTTTGGATAAATGGTGTGGTGTTAGAATGGTGTTGGCCAGCAGGTTCATTCTAAACTGCTAGTGTAGGCAAAGGCAACTCTAACATGTGCTAATCTAATTATATTGAAGCCTAGGCTCCCGCACTAGCTTCGACTTGACCAGCTCAGTACATACTAAAGTCCACACTAGCATTTTAGAACATGGTGGGTAGCACCCTATAACATGCTACAGCACGTTTTAGTAAAGACGAACTCTGAGACTCCACTTTTCTTCCCATTTAGTACTGCCTCTGCTGAGAACAAATCTGAGCTACCTTGTCTAAAAGGGCAAAGGCTGCTGGCTGGCTGGTGTGAGTGGACTTTGCCTTTTGGAATTGCATCTCTACATTGGGCTATCACAGTGGTTCTCACTAGCCAATGGGGGCTGCGGGAAGCGGCGCGGGAGAAGGGATTTGCTGGCCACTGCTTCCCACAGCCCCCATTGGCCTGGAGCGGCGAACCACAGCCAGTGGGAGCCACGATCAGCCGAACCTGCGGCACCCAGCAGGTAAACAAACCAGCCCAGCCCACCAGGGGCTTTCCCTTACAAGCGGTGGTCCCAGTTTGAGAACCACTGGGCTATCAGAACCCAGATCTATTAACTTGCTAGCATGCTGCAAAGCCCACCTATTTTCCAGGATTTTGGTGAAAGTGTGAGTTGAAGGCTGGAAGGTTCTACGTGCTCTATAGAGGTGGCTATTTTCTTTGCAGATGGTTAATATTAAATTGTGTAATAAGGGCCTGCAGCACTGGATGGTTGCTTAGTAAATCTTGTACAAACTGAAATAAACAAGCAAGCCTGGGAGAAGTCTGTGTTTCCGAGCCTGTGATCTGGAGGTATCTTTGGGAGTGCCTGCAAGCCTCCCATTTAATATGTTCCTAGAAGATTTAAGGGAATTCTGGGTTCAGGGGAGTGGCTGAGAGGATGAACTCCATTGGGATACTGCTAAATTATCCTTGAAAAAGATGATTTATCCTTGGGGCTTATAAAAATACTTTGACAGTAACCTATTTATTTTTGTTAGAACCGGACCAGGCTGTTCTGCAAGCATCTGCCATTTGGTGCAAGGCAATTTGTGTCAGAGCTACCTATATATCCATAGACCCACCAACAGGCCTTTATTAGTCACCCCGTGCCCTCCATTTTAAATTTCCCCAGTTGAACACATTTTTAAGGAACAAAAATGTAAGCTTTTTTCCTCCCACAGTGTGCCGCTTTAGATAAACTTGATTGCCAAGTTTTGTTGTCTTGGGAGACAATTAATTTTTCTTTGGTTTAATTGAGAAAATGAATAGATTCTCCAGTCCCTCAAGACTCCTTCCTACAAGCACACAAAGCCTTGGGACATGGAGATTTATCACAGGCTCAGGGAGAACACATATGGCAGCCCCTTACTGAAATGCTGGCTGGGCCTCGGTGGGTTTGTAACAACACCCAGAAGTTGGTTGACTTTCACCTGTTATCAGGTTTCATTCTACAAGTTTCATAGAAGTCAAATTAGAATTCTACAGAGAAAGCTGCTTGTGACCTTATTTTTAAATCATGACTGCATTTTATTGCTTTTCCACTGACTTGGCAGGTACTTTATTGACAGCAGTATACAAACTGGGGGAAATGTATAAGGATAGATAAAATATCCTCATACATAATTAGAATAAATGTTCTAGGTTATTTCTTATTGTCCATAAAACTTTGTGATGCTTTAACAAAAAGGTAAGGAAATAGGATATTTCATGTATTTCACAGAAAATAAAGTGAATGATGTGTAGGAAATAACATTGTACTCAGTGTGCCTTTTGCTAAATGTTGTCAAGTTTTATCTGTCCTTACTAAAAAAAAGGAATCTTGATCCTGTGTGTGTGTGTGCGTGTGTGTGTGTGTGTGTAAGAGAGAGAATAAAACATGTATGTGATTAAAATCTTAAACACAAATGTAACTTTAAAAAAAAATAGCCTCAAATATCAATGGGTGTTATTTGTGTCTATTATAATAATACTCATGGTAAAAATGTGCGTGGTATATTTCAAAACCAATCTGGTCTCTTTGCTTTCAGCTCGATGACTCACTAAACCAGATTCGAAAGCTACAGCGATCTCTGGATGAGCAGACAGAGGCAAATGACAACTTACAGATTCAGCTTAATCATTTGAAAAGCAGGTCAGTGCTTTACCCTTTTAATACTTTGAATCTGGGCTGGAATATTAATAGAGGAAGATTAAGTGAAGATGCACTTTCATTGATGATCTGTCACATTTTGCATCTGCCTAGTAACTGTTGCAATTGTTTGGTTCCCCCTACATTTCTGGTTCATCTGAATACATTCAAACTCCTACTGTAATTTGGTTTTTAATCAGTCTGGGTGAGAATGGATAAACACACAAAGAAATAGGTGCCGTGAATCAGGAAAACAACAGGATACTCTGGGCCACATGCTGGGAGGGCAGTATGCACCACCCAGTGGGAGTGCTTAGTGTATGACAGGCTCCACAGTGGAGTTTTTGACATGCAGAGTGGGAGTGCCTCCTGCGCTCCTCCTAAGTAGGATAAAAAACATGCTTCACTCTGGCCTTCCCGTCTTCCCACAGCTCTCCCCTCCCATTACAGTAAGTAGGGTTCTAGCTCTCATTGCCAGGGATAAGTTACTCCACTCAGGATATGAAGGGACTGCAAGCGTGGCTGATCCCTGCATGAGGGTGCATTGCGTGGTAGGGGAAAGTCTCCCTGTACCTCTCCTATACCCTTGTGTACCCACATGTGAGTCTGTGTGCATTTATGTAAGTGGTGAGCATTCGTGTAGGACTGGAAATAGTGAATAGTAAGAAAAAAATCAATCAAAACTGTTTCTAGTAGACTGTGACCCCAACAGTCTAGAATGGAACCTGCCATTCTTGCAAAGATTACAGGAGCATACTCAATATTTTCATTGTTTATTTCATTATCCCACAGCATAGATGATATCCAAAGAAAATGTACAACTGACCCGCTTTTTTTCTGGGAAAATATATGCTGCTCCATTAATTGTCCGTTCTAAAGAGGCTACTTTAAAGTTTAGCTTTTTCTAGAAACACAAGGGTTGGTATAAATATGGTGTCAAACTGAAGCTGGAACATTCAAATATGTATATATTGCACCACCTTTGTTTCCTCCCAAGACTGCAAAATATACATATTGTGAAAACACATCTAACCCACCTATATAATGCATTTATATTTATAAAGCATCTCACGTGAACTTGAATGCTTTTCTTGGTTGGCAGTGAACATTTGTTCCATATTATGCAAGAGCTGAGAAGCCAACTTACATTTCAGAAAGTAGTACTTTTTGAATATATTAAGATTTTCCCTTTTTTGTTGCTGCTGGTTAGCATGTTGGGGTTTAAGCATTACAGATGAAAGACGGATTATGGCTATTTGCTTGCTCACCCTAAACTAACTCTGAGCCTACCTTATGCCGTCACTTACACCTGTACAAAATGAGTGCAAAACACTAAATGTGTACTCACTCTACACTCAGATAAATGACATCCCAAGATGCAAAGTACTGGAGAATTAGGCTTACAAGTGATCAATCAGGGATTTTAGGACGCTAGTGTACTTTGGTAAATATAGTATTCAGTCATATTTTCTCATGATATTTTTTAAAATATGCAAAGTTGGATATATTTTGAACCCACTCGTATGTCATGGGTTCAAGCTTTCCCCACAGAACCATGCTGCTTCAGGTCAGTCTTCCATTGAGAGTTTACTCCTTGCTGAAGTGAGTTAGAAACCACAACATTTTTAATCTTTTTCCTTCCTATCCTACCTTTGGATAAAAACAACCTCTAAGTGTCTGATCAGATTGTACCACTTAAAGTTACACTGAGGGTAAACTGTGGATAAAGAGACTGAGGAATGTATGTATAGGGGCTTTTGAGTTCTAAAGGTAACATAGGAGAGTACTAATGGTATATGTCACAGTTACGTGGCTAGCTGCACTTTTGTCCCCTTTCTGGTATCTGAGTGCACCTCCATACATGGCAGTCTTTGTGCCTTTACTCTCCTGGGGTAGAATTTCAGAATTTTCACACTCTTGGGATGTCCTACCCAGATCCAAGTCTATCTGTGCCAACTGCTTATCAACATGCCCGTCCAACTGTACAACTGGGTTTCTTCCCTGTGACCGGGGATATAGGGTAAAATCACAAAGAGACTTAAGTGTTGCAATGCTGACCACCTAACTTCTAAGTGCCTAGAAACAACACAGAAATCAACAAAGTCTGAATTAGATACAGGCTCCCTATAAAGTGAATGGGGAGGAGATAAATACCTAAGAATGGAATCCACAAAAGCCAGCAAGCTAGACAGGGAGCTGCCTAAGCTAGCCAAAGACAGATGTAATGACTGGGGGGGAATCCTAAGCCCTACTCCCTCATGGAGATAGATGACTAAGTCCAGACTGCAGGGAGGTACCTCTCTCTGCTAGCAATCCATGAATGGGAACACCAAGTAGATTAGGTGCTTAAACCACTTCTTGAGGGAATGAGTTAAGTGCCTACCTCACTTCACACAAACTGTGGGGGGCAGGAGGAGGAGGAGCCCATTTTATAATTCTTAGCCCAGTGGTTAGCTCACTTGCCTGGGATGTGGGAGACCCAAGTTCAATTGCCCTCCCCTGGCAGGGAGACGATTTGAACAGGGTCTCTCCCACCCTTGAGGAGATTGCTTTAATCACTGAGCTATGGGATATTCTGATGGGGGGAGGTCCCTCAATCTCTCCTATTGAAGCTGTTTTACTGTGGGTTAAATACTAGTGATTGGAGCAGAAGGACTGGACCTGGGGTCTCCCACCTGGACCCAGGTAAAGGAAAGTGGTTATCATGGGTCAGAGTGACCTTGAGCAGATAATTGGGCTTAAGTATATAGGTAATGGGGCCCTGAACACTGTGAAGTAGTGAGAAAAAGCTACGTAGCATATAGGATACAGACCTGCAATCAGACAGAAATTGATGAGATTAAAAAGACTATTAAGAAGGAGATGGCCTGAAAAAAGAGACTAGAAGACTCTCTGGTGACATTGCAAGATGACCCAGACATAACAACCCAAAGAATAATGATTTAGCAGCTTACAGTGGGGCATAGAAAGGAATCCAATCTAACTTTACATCCCTATCCAGAGACTTTCAAAGTCAAGTGACTAGTGAGTCTGAAATGACTTCATATATTGTGGTTGTAAAGAATACCAAGATGACTACCCCTCTATACAGATAGAAGATTATTGTTAACTCATAGTCAATTAGTAAGAATGAAAGTGTTCTGTATTCATATCCTGACAAGGAGATCTATCAGGCTGCAGAATGTTATTCCTTGGGAAGTGGTGCACATCCCATCACTTGAGAATAAGAGCTGGAATGGACTAACCAGTTCATCATATCTATAGGGAGCAATGCGATGTAGGAAATCATCTTGCATTGTCAGAGAGGTCAATGTTATAGGTTTATTGCATCATGCCTTAATTCCATGAAAATTGTTTGACCATGTTGAAAAACATTTTATAATATTTCCAAAGCACTTCAAAATGTGGTTCCACTAGGCTGCCTTATTCTACAGTGGCAATTTTTTATGGGGCTTTTATGGATCATCTCCATAAAAACCTGAGTGATTGCCTTAAAATGCCAGGTCATCTCAATAAACATGATAGTATGTTCTTGACAGAGATCAATGTACAGCACACTAGACTGTGAAAGGTCAAGGAAACAGCATTGTGTCATGGTAATATAAACATATTTTATTACACAATAAAATCAACAGCTACTCTTTTCTTTTTACCACTATGTCTATATTTTATAGCTTTACCCTGGAAATCCAAATATTACAGCTCTTCCAAGCTTTAAGCCTTATTAACGTTCCCTGTTTTTGTTAACGAGACAATTAGTAATGCACAAAATCATGAGAAAACCCTTCTCAAGGTTCAAAGTCCTTTAAATAATTCCATTTCTAAATACTGCTGCAGGAATTTGGCCATACAATACTGACCAGCAGAGTAAGCTGGCCATTAGTTGCTTATAGGAATGTCCTTCCTGTCAGCTACACTCTAGAAACTAGGTAGTATTAGTAAATTGGCTATACTAATACACCTGCTGCCACCAGGGTTCCCCTGTTTGAGTTGGTGCTTTTAGGAGCATCTGAGACTAAAAGGATTTAATGAGAAGATATTGGAACATCGATACTTTTAAACAGAAAGAAGTTCCTTGGTGGTGGCCTGGTGGATTTCAGCCAATGAAGAACTGCAGATGTTGAAGAAGCTCTACCCCAACTAGGATGGTTCTGTGAAACAGCTACACTATTGATATTGCAGTTTCTATAGTGGGTTTGAAATCTGGGTCATTGTTGTGGTGGCTTAATCCCACCAGCCCCAAATGACCAACTGTGAACCAACAAGACTTTAAATCTTTTAATCTTTGAGGAAGATTATCTGTCGAGCAATATTCACTTAATAAGAGTGAATAATAAAGGACAACGCAAAAGGAATCATTCTTAAACAGCTTCTTTTTTCAAAGCAATTGTGTGAAATATTTTAGGTACAGCTTTTCCCTTTTTTTCTTATTAAATATTTGTATGAAAAAACAATCTTTGTTTCATAAATACTTTTCTGCTCCTGTTTCTTATTTCTTGTATAAAGACATAAAGAAGTAACTTATTCTATGTTGTGATAACCCTACTGAACTACTGTGGAGATTGTGGTGATATCACAAGAGGAATTTAGAACTTCAGGAAGGGGAATAACAGGAAATGATGAGCATTTTAAATGTCAGACATAATGTCTACTTAAAATGTTTTTTCCCATGGTACCCCTTCTGCTCTTAAGAGCAAGTTAATGCTTTATTTTGCACCAAGAGATGAATTCTTAAAGTGATGGCCATTTCTGGCAGCGGATGTACAGAACAATATGGAGTACAGAAACATGCTCTGCAGACTATGCCGACTTACATGAATAAGTTCAGATATGTCCTGACATACTGTGTATCTAGAAATCTCAGGTAATATATGTAACTTTCACAGCACACTAAATTACTTAATTGACAATTTCCTATCTCTCTTCATTCAGGGCTGGTCTACACTGGGGAGTGGGGGGAATCGATCCAAGGTACGCAACTTCAGCTACGCGAATAGCGTAGC